ACCTTCAGAAATGTACTTCTCATGCCATCTGTGTGGTAACAAATTTAGAAAAATGAGTAGTATCTTGGCAGTCTTAGCCAAATGTGCTCAGGATGCAGAGGAGGGTGGTGGGGGGTTCCTACCAAATAGGGCATTCAGTATCTGAGTCAGAGGTGACGACAGCATCTAAGCAGGGGGCTGTTTTCTAAGAAATATGCCATTAATTTCGTAGAGCCTGACACAACTGTGCTGCAGTTCAGCTGAAGCCATCCCCTTGAGTCCTGCTGATGGCCTTGGCAGTACAGAGCCTACAGGCCTGAAGCTCTCCTGCCCTCTGCACCTTCCCAATGAGCTACTTAATACACATGACTCTACAAGAACATCCCAATCTAGTCTGTTCAAAACCAGCAGCCATTTTATGAATGACCAACGTGAATGATCCTATCTGTAAAACACAGGTAATCCTGCCTCTTTATTTCCCAATGCAAGTGCAGATCACTGACACTTGAGAAGTGTCTTGAAAATCACAGGAGATGATAACATCAATAACAGCACGCCATGAGATGCAATATTATTACAATAATAATGGCACTCATTTCAGAGTCCTGCATTTTTCAGGTCATCAACCAAAAACATTAGCAAAACAGCCCTTCAGGAGATGAAAAATCCTTGCAGTGTAATGCAAGCTGCTTCATTCAATTTATTTATTCTCCCCTACACTGTGCAAAGTGCCTGCTACCATCCCTCCAACTACCAAGAGAATTGTGAGTGCCCTTCTCACATAAAAGGATTAGGCCTTTGGATGAAACAGAAGGGAAATCTAAGAGCAGCTGACCACAGTCTTACATTCCTGCAGTCTTGCACTTTTTCTATTTTTTTTCCCCTTTAAGTCTTGACCTGCAATTCTCATCAATGATGTCAACACCGAAACCACAGGGACAAGCCATGCAGATCAGACTGAAACCTAAAGGAAATTAGCTCAGCTAAGCTACTGCAGGCCCAGCAGGACATCTAGTAGCTCCCAGCTGTGCCTCCCTTCAGGGAAAAAGCCAGGAGATAGCTGAGCAGCTTTCAGCAGCCCTCATCCCCAAGCCAGAAGTGGTAAGAGCAGCATACAAGAGCTCTGCATGGCTCTGCTGTGGCAAAAGGCAAACGCTGCCTACTTTGCAAACTGAGCTCTCTGGTTGTTGAGAGAGATGAGAGTTCCCCAGCAAGAGCCTTCCACATCTTCTAGGGCAGAAAGAATTTTGCTTTGATCTTGAGAAAAACTGCTGAGACCTGTGAACATTTATCCCGTCTCTTCTGCTCTGCCTGCTGGTTTTGTCATTTTGCCTCGTTATTCCATCCCTCCTTTCCTTCCTCCAGAATAAGAGTAGCAGATGATGGTAGGAGTAGACAAGGATCCAAAAAGCAAAAAGAAAACCTTGCTCTTGCCTTTAGAGTACAAAATCAAAGTGCTCTGTGTATGTGCACCTACACGTCAGGTACTTCCTACTGTTCCTACTGGGACTTCCCTCTCCCCAACCTATTCAGCATTTGAGGTTAAAGTCTACGGAAAAGAATGTTCCAAACTTCAAAGTTAAATGCAAAGGTGGTACTGACAGCACATAGTTCTGTGAACATGCATGCAAAAACCTGATCCCCTCTTCTTCCTTCCCTTGCTTTCAACCCAAGATGCTTCCTTGATGGGAAGCATCAACAGGAAATTCAAGAGAGCACACCAAAAGCTGTTTTTTTCCCTTTTTCCTTTAGGGTGCTTTTAATATACTAAACTGTGTTAATACTAAAAAAACAAAGGCAACTCTTACAGGAATAGGAGGCCACTTTTCCCTATTGCTCACAGAGAACCCTGGCTGTTGGAATGGATGATACGTTAATTTCGTGGCACAGTCACTCAAGAGAGGGCATAGAAGTCTCCCATGGTACAGTGCACACAATTTACAATGGGCAGGGTTAAAATTTAATTAGTTGTTACAGGCCTTGCAAAGATGTTTCTCCAAAGCAAACATGCTAAAAAATACATTTTTTTCTAATCACATCAGAAAAACTTCGTTCATAAAGCACCCTTTCTGAGCTATTATGGACAACCGCTTCTCGGATTTTTGAAGGAGGAGCTGGCAAAATTAAAAAAATAAATAAAAAAGAAAAACCTAAAATAGGACTCAGAGATTTAATGTCCTATAAAATAGCTCCCTACAAGCTCTTTAAATGTCCTTTACTTCAAGCAATACTCCCAAGATTGTAGAGAGTTTCAGGGCAGTACTTGTAGCAAGAACTCCTTGTGTTCCCTCTGCTTAGGGGGCTCCACAAACACACCATAAGATTTATGCATTTCCCTTTCAAAATAACCTCATGTAGTCGTCTGCAAAAATTAATTTATATAAGCATACAGAAGAAAGGAACATGTTAGCTCAGGCTGTTGGGATTTTGATTTTTTTTTCAGTTTTTTTTTGGTGGGGGTGGGCTGGGGGAGCAGTCACTAATATCTACCATAAATCTGCTCACTCACAGCCTCAGCTCACACAGTAACACCACCTCTGTCTCACACACTTTCCTTCCCATCTTTCCCTCTCTCCCTGCCCACAGCCACGCCAGAATGAGTCTGAGGTGGCTGTGCAGTGTTGCTGATTAAAATTTGCCAGTAGTGAGACAACTGACTATGGAGCCTACAAGGGGACTGTGTATTTATGAATGCAATAACTAATCAATGCATAATAAGCACACACTGCAGACACCACTCTTCTTCCCATGCAGAGACAGCTTCAATCACCATGCAGGTTTCACTGTCACGACAAAATTCAGTTCCCAGCAGCTGCTCCCCCACCCTGCAGCATTAGCAGAGACAAACTCACTGTGTCAGAGCCTGCATTCATCTGCAAACCCACCCAAATACTGCTAGATTGATTAATTTTGAAGGTAGAGGTTTTCAGAAGAAAATGCCATAGTTAGTGCCACAACTACTAGGCTGTCACAATTTTCCTTTTAAACTAATTTTTCAGAGGCTCAGCTGTAAAGTGTACTCAGAGCTGTGAGCTGACAGACTGGTTTGCATCTTAAGAACATATTTCATTTTAATGGCTTTATTTTTAAATTGTTTCAACTCTCTGAATTAATGGAGACTTAAAAAAAGAAATGAGACTGACAAAAATGCAAAGTAGAATATTTTATCCTTTTTTACCTATCTTTTAACTCCAGAATTATATTTCTTTTTAAGAAACTCAATAGTTCCCAATAATAGGACTGCACATCTTTTCCCCCCTTCAGTGTCCATCCTCTTCAGCACCACTTTCTGCTGCCTACATGGAAGAACAGAGATATTTTACCACAGAGATGAGCATCCCTGCTAACTCTTTGCTAAGCCATTTGAGCCTGCAGTGATGATACCTGGAGGTGAGTAATCACCAGAAGTTTTCATTGCAGTGCCACAGGCACAGAAGACAATTGTGTGCCCTCCCTGACCCAAGGGCCAATGTTTATTGCAGACTTGCTACATGTAGGGACTGACCAGAAGGTTGCAGAGCTCTGCATTTGGCTCGGGAGCTGTGGCCTAGAGAACACTAATAAATATATATATAAAAAAAATTAATTCTTTGTACTCTGTAACAGGCCAGAAAGGGGATGACATGGCTTTATTCTGCCAATATGCAGAGGATTAAGGGTTTCTGCTTGAAGCCACTAACAACCTGAACAGGAGAATTACAGTAATTCCACTAAAACCACACAGAATCCAAGGCACTGGCTGATGGCACAATGTTACCCTTCCCACTTCTCTCAAAAATGCAGCTGGCACAAACCCTATAAACAGGAATTCAACCAGCTACCCAAGGAGGTCCAACTTAAAAAATGGTCTTAAAGAGGAGCCAACTTATAGAGGAGCCACATGCAGCAGTGGGGACATTTGTCACAAGACTCCTCAACATTTTGAGACCTAAATACTCAACATGGAGCAGTTTCTACAAGGAAGTCAAATATAGCAGTTAGCATGTGAAACACAGCTGAAACTCATGTTGCTCACACCAGCCCATTTTAGTGCAAAGCATTTCACAGCAAACAGCAGCAAGATGCTTCATTAAAACCCTGCACTGCTTGAAGCCATGAGGTCACTGTTAGGACCCAAACACATGTTGTCATGACATCAATTAGCAACACTTTGCCTATGCCAATGCCATTATTAATACCTTGAAATACTAATCTCTATTACTAATTAACAGTCAAATGCACTAAATAATTTTTCATGCATTAGGAATGTATTACTGAATTCAATTACATGTCAAGAGCTGTGACTTATGAATCCTTCCCACAACACCATTTGTGCTAGAAAATATCCTTAAAAATTCAGTAACATTTAAATGGTTTTTCATAAACAAGATACCTCTATATTGGAATAGGCTGTTAGGCCCTGGCTCTGCAAGCAAGACAAGATTCTCTCTACTTGTCTGACTGTATCTCAGTTACCACTTCCATATGCAGCAGCCAGGCTTAACAGCCACAGTTATTATACAGAAATTCAGCAATTCATCAATGAGATGAATTGCCAATGCTTGACTTGAAATTCAGATCTCCCTTAAAACAAAGCCTGGCAACACAAGGAAGGATGCAGATGCCTCTTTGTGCCTTCAAAACTGTAAATGTTATTCTGAACACAAAATATTGATTGTTTCAAGGAGATTACTGGCCTTCTGTTTGAACACAGCACAGGAACTAGTGAATATGCATTTTGAGAAAGATTTCACTTCTACATTCATTAAGAGCCTTGATATTTAGGTATTTCAGAGAGAAAACTGGGACACAGAGAATCAGGATGACTGATGAGCAATACTTACAGGAAATGTTATTTATATTGCATGATGCTAAACCAACTTGGTTAAACCCTCAGTTTAGCAACGATAGCTGTAATTCTGTGCACATACATCCACACTAAGCACCTGCATTTCCTCATGCAAACACACGCACAAACTGGTGTGTACCCTCCGGATTAAAGAAATCGACAGTCAGCAAACAAAGAATATTAAGCGCTATACCTTTGAGTCATAATCTTATAGGCATCTGGCAGATAACAGCGGATATTCTCCATCTGAGCAGGATCAGAGTCGCAGATTTTATCGTCGGTCCTGCCGTAGTTGGCACTTTCGATCATGATCACATCTGTTCCCGGGCAGCGCAGCTCGATGGGGTAACTCTCGCAGGACAGCTCCCTTCGGACCACAGCCATGGGCACTGGGGCACGGCTGAAAGCTGCAAGGATTAACACACAAACACAGTCAGCACCGGCTCTCCACGCTCGGGCTAAAATTAAAAGCGGAATCACGTTCAGCAGAAGCTTTACCCATATGCTGTGCTGAGATAGTTTCGGTACTGTTCAGATAAGAGCTGCAGGAACGGGGTCTGGTCGCTGGCTTGCTGGCTGCCCAGAGAAATCACTTGATTTTGTCATTTTAAAAACAAGCTATAGATCCCTTTTATACAGGGCTTTAGACATCCCTTATTGAAACAGGTAAATAGCAACTATGGCATTGTTATTATTTCTACTTACCAGGTGAAAAACTAATTGGCTTTGATATATAAAATTACAGTCCTGTGTTGTACTTGAACAAGCAAAGAAAATTTTATGACAGCAAGCAATCCAAGAACCAGGATCCCACCTGCTCAGCAAGATTGCACCTCTCCTACAGCAGATGTAGTAACATCTGTATTGCTCCTGGTCCTTTTCTTAGCCCTTAGAAAAAGTGATCCTAATGGCTTTTGCTGTAGCCTGCAGCATGCCAGGGGATGGCCTGCAGGTTCTGGCAACCATCCCAAAGTTTAGGCCCTGCAGGGTCCTACTTTCCATGGAAAGGCCAATTTATGGGACACCAGATGATTTAAGTTGTCTTAGCTTTGCATTGACTGCCTAGATAGTCAAATAGCTGGCAAATACTTGTGAAATTAAAGAGCTCTCAGAAATCTTACCTGTTTTAAAAGAAATCCAGGCTACAGTTTGCAAAAGAAAAAAAAAAAAAAAGAAACACACTTTGAGATGCCTTGAAAACAAAGCCCTAAAGTATTAGTAAACAATGCCACTTGACAACAAGCAATTGTATTTCCCATCTCTACAGCCTCTTTGATGCAAAGATCTTAAACAGCTTGACGAACGTGAATATATTAATCCCCAAATATCCACATGAAGTAGCTACACATTGTCTTTCTCAACTCAGCCACAGAAGAGCTTTGCAGCTTCCAGAAGATCTCATGGGAAATGCATGGTGATGCTAGGAACCAAATACTTGTTTCCCAGCCTAGCACACCAGTCACAAGCTGAAATAAAAGCTAACTCCTTTTCTCCTTTTTTCCACAAGAATGAAAGGAACTATAAAGATTTCTAGACACATGGATGATGTGCCCTCCAAGTGACATTTGTACACTTCCAACCACAAAAGTCAACATACAACCCAAGCCTGTCTCTATGTGATGGTGAGAGGTTTAAGCCTCCAGTAGATCCATGGCCCATCTGATACCAGGCATCTTTCAACAACTCCCTTTCCTCCTGCCCCCATTATAAAAACACTAAAATATCCACCCTCCCTAAACCAAAAATCCCATCCAATGATCTGCCAGTTAGTTCCATAAAACTTTGCCATGGTACATTCACACCAAGTCTGCCTATGGAAAATAAGATTATATTGCTGTTTCTCAGAATACCAGTTGACTATATCAAGGCTGCCCTATCTGTCAGCAGCAATCCAACACACTGACTTCCATGAATCCTTCCATTATTGTCAGTTGTCTCATTTATCTATCACTGGACAGATTTTCAGATCCCAATTTCTGTAAATCTGCAGGGATTACTTTGATATCAGACCCTCCCTGGTGTGCCAGAGCTGTGGACTAATTGCCAAGCTCCCAAGACAGATGTGTGCTTATTCTTGAATAATAGCTTGCACAATTAGCACAGCTTTAGGGTTTGGATCACTTGAGATCTCCTCCTTCCCTGAGACTGGAGAAACAGTTCTGCCCTGGGCTCATATTGCACCACACATTTGCGTAATGCCATAAATTCTCACTGCCACCAGCTTCTCCTGTTACTAGAAGAGGAAAATGAGAAGGACAGTTGTGAACCTCTAAAGTGCACTGCCTCACTCTTACTCTTGGCTTGATACCACTAGTCAAAAAGGTGAGTGGAAGAAGGATGGGACAATGTTAGATACAAGATTTGATAGAAGAGATAAGCCAGCCAGAAAGGCAGAGTCAGCAGAGCTCAGCAATTTCAGCCTGCCCTAAAACAACTTCAAGAGGTATTAAGTTTGCTTACAGGGGTCTGTCCACAGAAGCCTGCAGCAGGCTCTGCTCTGTCAAACACTGGACTCTGTGGCAGAAGGCCAGTGCTGACCAAAAAACTTGTGATGCCAGGATTCTGATTTTGGACAAGAGCTGTGGTGAGCTCTCCTCGCAAGCCTGTTCTGTGCTAAACCTGAGCAGATTGGTGCCATGGGAGGCAGAAGGTTTCTAGCAGCTTTTGGCAGAATGCTGAGGCCAAGGGCCCTCCCTCCTCCTGCCATGTGCTTAGATGACTCCTGTTAACTGCCAAAAAAATGACAAAATGAGGTTTATAGGCAGTATTAGCTGTTTGGAGCTATGGTTTCGCCCAGTCCTTGGGCAGTTTGGATCATTTTCTCTGGAAGGTTAACACAGGCTATACAAAGGGCAAAGAGAGTTGGTAATACTTTACTTTTTACAGTTCCCACTACAGAATACAGAATTTCTGAGCCACACGATTCAGAAAGAATATTTTTGCTCTTAATTCCTATGTTTTGGAGTATTTTTTTAGTAAGCATTCTATATCAATTGAACACATAAGGGCTGAGGAAAACCCTGCTTAAAATCACAAAAAATTAAATGCCTGAGAATTAATTATAAAAACGTGGTGTATCTGTCAAACAGCAATACTGTACAAATGCAGCTAACCTTAACTCTTGTGTTATGCTGGAAATAAGACATTAAGAATTGCTAACAGCAATTTACAAAACCATTAAAAATATTTCTCTACCTCAAATGAGAACACATTTATAGTACCATGGGTGTATCTCCTGTACATGAGACTTTACAGCATTGATTTACTAAAATTGGATGCATATCAGTTCCAAGGATGCCCCCTAAACACCCCAAACCAAAGCTGAACACCCCTTCCTCAAAATAACAGCTCATGCTCTCCAGTAAAGAATCTCTGGACAGATGCAAACATTTCTGAATGCAGCTTTAAACTTCCTGGAATTCACCTTTTTGCCTTTCACATAATCACTTGACTGCTTGCTCTAAGGAGGACAGCTTTCACTTACAGACACCTCCCTGTGGTATCATGGAGTCAACATTTACATTTATTTTCTGGATAAAAGGCATAAAAAATTTAACACCCTGGAAAAACCAGAAGCAGCTGAATATTGTAATAGAGCATGATCTGCTATCGTGCTTTCTCCTAAAGCAATAGGCATGTTTTCCATCCTGCCATTGACCACCAAATCATTCACTTTGCATGATGTTTTCTTCTACCTCACTATCTGCAATAAATATTCCAAAGGGAGATTAGAGCCTGGCTGTTTATCTCCTTGTAAACACATCTTTTGTTGTTGTGCCCCTATATGATAATCTTACTTAATCATTTTTACTGGTTTTCCTGTAAGGAGCAAAGATGTTTTGCTTTTTGCTGTGAAACAAGATACATCAAAGCCCATCTGTGAAATACACAGCACGATTGTATTAATTCTTTAATACACTTCTCTCTTCTTCGAGCAGCTCCCTATCTTCACAGTCTCTCATTGAGCTCCTTATTTAATCTCCTAAATAAGTGACCTAATTGTTGGCTTGAAGTCAAGAGGAGTTGATGGCAGCTCACTACTTTGAAAAACAGGTGTCTTTTTCCAAGATCCTATGTGCAGACAGCCATCTAAATACAGAACTTAAAAAGAGTGTTTTTCAAATTCTTTAACGTTTAAATGTGTGCCAACTCGAGTTTTTTAAGTGCAGCCATTCGGTGGAAAATAATCCTCCTGAGCTTCTGCAGAGCAAAGTGAGAGCAGAGGGTGAAAAGGCAACAGATAATGACAGGATTTTATCTGGGCGATTTAGAACTCCTTTGTCTCTGCTAATTTCAGGAGCTGGAAAATTAAGTAAGTCATCAAAATCTTGTGCTTTTTCTCCCCCTCGCTTTTGACCTCAGAACATAATTGCCTCTTGTCATGCCTGCAGGGCACGGGCTTGTAGTTATCACTGTGTGCTTAATCAAATGCCGAAATAGCCTTTAAATTATGTGTTTCCTTGGCTGCTAGAGACTTGTTGAGCTATGTTACATTTAGAGGCATGATGGTAGTAGATGTACTTTTAAAAGAAAAGTGTGGGTTGATGCTTTTAATTAGGTTTTAGATGCAATTTTCCCAGCAAAATCATGTTCTGGCTCAGAATTTTCAGAGCGAAAATTCAGTGCATATTTAAGGGCCGTGAAACAAAAGCTGGAATTGTAGAGATAATTATTTTCACAAGCTCTCTATATGATTTGGTCTGCCCAGCTAAGTATCTGACTTACTGTTCCCAAGTGCAAACAGAGCATGCTGTGGAAAGAGGTTTCCTAGTAATTTGGAAGAATGCTTCTGTGTTTGTAATTTTGCAGTATTTAATACTCCCACAGTTCACCTTGGCTCTGTGGGGGGAAAACCTTAAAGTAATAATAAAAAAGTCCCCCTCCTCTTATTCTCCAGCCTACTCAGGTGTGGGTAGGAGCGGAAATCCCTTCCAGTCAATGAGTCAATGGGCTCTGTAGGGCTCACTCCACTTTCTGAAGTGATTTTCTAAACCAGGGCCCTACTTTTCCCTATTAGGATATAAAGTCTCCTTAGTGCACAAATTGTTTGCATGCAGACATTGCTCACTGTTTCTTCTCTGTCTCTATTTCCCTTAATCCAAATTATGCCTGGCCTCTGATCTCAAGAGCAATATTAGTAGAAAGCAAAACCTTGAGTTAAAGATGGTGACAACAAACATTTCTCAAGCATCCAATAACCCCCCCTTCCCAGTATTTTCATAAATATCAGCAAAGTTCTGACAAACTTAAAATAGCTTGGCTTATCCCAAGTTCTCTGAAATCTTATGATTAATATACAAATATGGAAATACCATTCTTTCTCCCCCACTTTCTCTTCAGATGCTGAAAATAAAAAAAAATGAAAAAAAAATGAAAAAACACAATGTCTTTTCTAGAGAGACAGGGTGGACAAGCCTTTCTTCTACTGTCATCCTGCAGTGGGGTTAAAGAAAGGTGCATCCTGCAGACAAAGGCTGGTGCCAAGACGTTGCAGCAAATGCTTGCAACATCCATACCCAGCTCCCCTGGGGAAGAATGGAAGACTGAAGGCAGCCAGTGTGGCTGAAGAGCTGAAGCCATCAGCAGTGCAAGGCTGGACATCCCTGGTTCCCATTCCCAGCTCTCCCCTGTGTGCCTCAGCTGATTGCTGTCTCATCTACCAAAATGGGAACATGATCTTATCTCCCCCATTAAGCACTCTAAAATCTGCCATGGAAAGGAGGAAGAGAATTAGATGCATCCTCAGAAAGTGATGCATGTGGCTTCAGCTCTGGTTTCCCCACACGAATCAAAGACCCACATCCTCCTAGATTGTCTCGGGCTTTCTTATTTTATAGATGATATCAAAAGCAATTTTCAACTTCCCTTTGGTCACCTTCACCTTGATTCCCCCTTAGCCAGCAAACAGCCAGCTATGAACAGACTTCACAAACTCAAAGAGCATCTTTTTACATGGTGGGATGGAGTATACAACAAAACCAAACAGAAGAGAAACAGAAGGCTGGGCAACACCCTAGTCAAAGCAACCAAAGAAAAGCTAAAAAACAGAAAATCCTCATAAACTTCCCTGTGCTGTTTATGTGGAGGTTGAGGTCAACTATCTTCCATAAATTGCTTACTCTATCTCCATTATAGCACACAA